GTGCAGCTGCAGAGGAGAAAGCCCCCCACCCCAACTTAAAGGGTCACGGTTCTGTTTCCTGAGGACTGTGTGAAGACAACCAGTGTCGGGGAACACCACAGTGGGGTCAATGCTTTTGGATTTTCATCGAGCTAACCTACAGCTTCTGCAGTCAACTGGCTTATTCTGAGTTGCAGGAATATTACGGACCTGTGGGCTGGCGTTTTTAAAACTGGGCAGAGAATTTGTGCAACGGTGTTCATTTGCAAATGCACACATGCGCTGAAACTTGTGGGCGCAAAGGCATGTTTGCAAGCAAAGAACCTTTCTCGGATTAAAAAGACATTTTCATCCGTGGATCAGATGACAGAACAAAAGACGCCTGGCCATGTGCAAAGCGCAGATCGAATGACTTTCACAAAATCTTCGCATCTGTCTCTTACAGGTCGCATCTGGGCTCACTTACCTCGAAGCAGGCCTTGCTGAACGGCTCTGTGGGACTGGCCCCCAGAAAGTTTCCCACTTTGCTAGCAGTTAACAGATGGGTCCTAGGCATGTATCTTGGAGTCCAGTAACACTCCGTGCACTGACTCACAAGTAAGCTTGCAGCATGGCATCAGTCTGTCTGGATTTCCTCTGAGCAAACCGATGCAAAGCCGGTGATTTGGGGCTCGGGGTGCCCAAGAAATCTCGACACAGCAATCCACGGCATGCATTTCACAAAACCCTTTTGCATTTTGCAGGCAAGGTGCTCCAGTGCGGGTTTCTTCCCCTCTAAACTCCCTCCGCGGAAAAAGCTTTGCCTGGAGCGGGAGGAAGAGAAGGGCCCCTTGTTTTTATATGGAGTTTAAATATGGGATTTTTGGCAGGGGGAGGTAGGCGGGAAGCGGCGGTTTGCCTTTGCTCAGCACTCTCACTGAGGTCAAGATCCTGCCTTCCCCAGTGTCGGCTCCTGGGCCCGCCTCCATCCCCTTTGAGAGAGGAGGAGGAGGACCTGTGAAGGAAGCAGCAGCACTGCCTGTAGAATTTCTGCCTGTTAGGCAGCGGATTCAGTGACAGTGCCCCCTTAAAGGGAGAGGGGGAAGAAAATATAGTCACCCTCCAAGTGTGGGTCAGACAAAGTGCCCAAGCCCACTTGATATTAAAAGTCCCCAGAACACACCTCCTTGGGCAAATACTGACCATTCGTTTTCTTATGACTTTAGGTTAGTTTCTCCCTGCAGCCTGCAAAATCCATTTGGGGAGTCGAGGAAACAGGGACAGTGTAAAAGTCAGAACAGAAACGCTTTGTTTGGGCGGATCATGTCCCGAGCATCGGCACGTGTTACCCCTGCCAATGTCCAGGTGAGACACTCCAGTCAAGTTCTCCTTCCATGGAAGGATGTCGTAAGCCGCAGCATTTCCACAGAAAGGTCTTGGCATCCATATACAGCCGTGCCCGTTTCCAAACCATGAACGATAGTCCCAGATTGGTTGTGGTGCATGATTTCTGTGGAAGTCTTGCGGTTCACGATCCCGCTCCAACACGGTTATTTATGACTGGTCCATTTGTGAGTCTCTCCATCCTGTTTCGGACGGAGTCCAGCATTAAGGATTAATAACCACAAAGCGGTGCAGGGTTCCTGAATTCTTGTTCTCCAGAGTCTGGAACAGATGCCAGTTAAAAAAACTGGAGGGGTATATTGTGGTCTTAACAAGGGAAACACTCCTGTGATGAGCCAAATTGGGTTCGCATTAACACAGTAAGTCGTGGTGGCTTCTAAAGCTGGGGTGGCTAGTTGTGTTGACTGGATACAGCAGAATGGCTTGTAGTCTGACCAGGCTTGGGCTAGGCAAGCTGCCTCTGGTTTTTAAGTTACCGCATTTCACCATATATGAGTTCCAGTTGCTGAGTCGGTTCTACCTTTGTCCTCAGGCATCTCAGCAGTTGCCAATGGATGCGGATAAAGTTTCCAGGGTAGATAAAACCTTCAGCCAAACTTCACTGCCTGCAGATAACAGACCTCTGTCTTAAGAGAGTCAGGCAAGTTGAGATCTAATGGCACGTTCTCAAGCAAGTGAGGAACTTTGCAAAATATCAAAATAATAATGATAAAAGCAGCAGCAAAGACTCAGCCCTGACTTTGCCCTTTTCCTTGGAGGTTAAGTGCTGAGTGGATCCTACTCCCAGGTAAACGTGCACCGGATCCACTGTTACCTCTTAGTAAGGTTGCAGTTCTATGCACCCAGAACTGCTCGGAAGGCTGACTTCCGAGTAAGCAAGCAGAGATGCGTTGTGAGTATGCAGAGGGTTGGCAGCCCCAGGAAAGGCGACTCTTCTCTACAGCTGCACCCATTTCCAAGCTAGGTATAAAGGATCCAGGAAGAAGTTGATGGTAGAATCTCTCCGTTGGCTTTGCTTCTAAGAACATTGCCATTTTTCTCATGATGGTATGTATGATCAGTCAGATATCATATTGCACATCTGGAATGCCTTAAGCAGTTGTGGGTGTGGGTGTTTTACGTAATACGAAGCTGACTTCCAGTCTGCCATTCAATTCTTGTTTTAAGCAGCAGTTGGCAGCCATTTTGCTACTTAGGAAAGTAAGTAGCAAAAGAAAGTTTATTCTTGCTATTATTTATTTACTTACCTTTCTGTACTGCCTATAGTTGAAGCTCTCTGGACAGTTTCCTTCTGTTTCCTCCACCAGTTAACTCAGACAGGTGTAGGACTTTGCTTATCTTCTCAACAATCTTTTCAGGTAAGGCCTTGGATAACACGGCTAGATCTGTAAACCTAGTCTCCATTCGAGTATTATGAAAAAGTGGTGTAAGCCGTCCTGAGACAGCAAAGTGGACAGGGTATAAAAGTTTAAAATAAATAAAATAATTATGGCAGTTTCTCTTTCTCTGAGCAGCAAGAATTTGTGTCTAGGCAAGCTGCTGGCCTTCTGGTTGTCTTTGAGAGAGCATTTGACTCCAAATAGCTCAGGCTAGAAGGATCTTTGAAGGGTCGTTGGATGGTCCAGAAAGCAAACCTCAGTTCCCCAGCTTGTAGTTGTGAGGACTTCTAAAGTCCAGTTTCCCTTAAAGTGCTCATTAGTTCCAAATCATTATTTCTTTATGTATGCCCCACTTTTCTTCCTCTTGCAAGGAATACAAAGGTTCTCCTTTTCTCCATTTTATCCTCACAACAATGACCCTGCGAGGTAGGCTAAGCTAAGAGGCTATGATTTGGCTTTTAGGTATGGGGTAGATAACCCAACAAGAAAAGGGACTGCAAAATGGAAAGGAAAAAGACATTACTAAAGTTTACTGGGAAAGTAGTTTTAGAAAAAGGCTTTTGACTTTGAATAGCGACAGCAAACACACTCAGAACTTGTACGTACAAAGTGATAAGGAAAGGAAATACTAGATGCTTCTAGCTGCTTTCTGGCTAAACGTTCCTCCTGTTTCCTCTTGTCTGGGAGTACAAGATCCTCCTGTGTCTTATTGTGGGACTTCTCAATGGTTACCCCGTTTGCAGCTTGCTTTGGCTTCAGTTTTGCATAAGTCCACACGCTTGCATGTAGTTCCTTCCCTTCCAAGGAGTTCTTTGCAGAGGCTATGGCAGAAATGACTGCCATTCGCAGACGGAGCCTCATCTTTTTTTCAGAGCAAATACTTCTGCACCCGAGAGCTGAGCGGGGCGTCCAAGTTGGACCTGAGCCTTCCCTCTCGTCCCTCATCCCGTAGCCCTACTTTTTGCCTTTTTCCTATATTTTTGCCTATATTTGAAAAATAGGCTCCAGCAAATACCTATTTTTAACCTTCCCCTTATAGCATCCAAATAGAAAGGGATGCACAACATGGCAGAAAACAAAAACTGGACCCCCACCAAAGCCCATCTTCGCTTAGGTGCTGGTGGAACCTGGGCTGGCTGGGACTGTTGGGTCTTGGGGTGGACAGTCCAGTAAAGAGGGCAATTCCATTGGCAGCAGCTGCTGTAAAAGCAAGTTCCATGTTGGGTGCAATTAGGGAAGGAATTGCGAAGAAAAAATGGCCCTCCTCCCACTGCTCTTATATAAATCTTTGGGGCAGCCGCACTTTGATTTGTGGTGCAGACCTGATCTCCATGCCCGAAAAAATCCTGTTTTATAGATGTGGCTAGTGCAGAAAAGAGCAACAAAGCCCATCCTGGGACAGCAGTGACTTCCCTTTTAGGAAAGCATGTAACACTGGGGATTGTTTAGCTTTGAAAAAGGGCACGTAAGCAGAGAAATGGCAAGAGGGGTCTCCAAACGATGCGTGGTGTGGAGAAAGCGGATGGGGAGGCAGCGTTCTTCCCGTATCATAATCAGGCTTCCCGTGAAGCTGGCAGGGTGGGGGATTTCGGGCAGATGAATAGGAAGGACTTCCTTATACAGCACAGAATTAAACTGTGGAATTCACCTCCGCAAGAGGTAGGGATGGCTGTGCTTTGGGTGGCTTTAAGCGGGAACTGATCTCTTTGCAGAGTGGCCGCTAGTCCTCATGGCTCCACACTCCTTCCAGCATCAGAAGCAGACTGCATCTCGGCACCAGTTGCTGGGGAACATGGGTGGAAGTGTGTTCTTGCACACCTGTCCTGGTTGTGGCTTTCCTGGGGCAACTGGTTGGCTGGACCAGGTGGATCACCCCCCCCCCATCTGCCGCAGCAAAACTCCTTTGGATTCTTCTGTTGAAGCCGAACTATAATCATTTTTCTTCCTTCACATGTTCAGTAACACTAAAACGACTGGGGGAGGGAATTCCGGAGGGTGGGTGCCACCTCAAAGAAGTCCTGCTTTCTGAATATCACATGCTGTGCATTGTGGGGTGGCCCCCAGGGACCTCCAAGGTTGCCTGGGGAGGGTGGGCCATTAGCTAGCCTGGTCCCAAGGTTGGTCGGGCTCTGCGTGTTCACGAGAGACCCTTGAGTGTGGCTTGGTGGCTACTTGGCAGTCTCCGGCATCGTCCTTCCGCCGGATGGTCCTAACGCTGAGTCTTTGTTCCAGAGGGAGTGCCTCTCCATCCATATAGGGCAGGCCGGTGTTCAAATGGGCAATGCCTGCTGGGAACTGTACTGCCAAGAGCACAGCATTTTGCCCGATGGCACCACGGTGGCCCCCGAGGTGCCGTGTCGGGTGGATTCTTCTTTTGAGACCTTCTTCTGTGAGACGGGAGCCGGGAGGCACGTCCCGAGAGCAGCCTTCATCGACCTCGAGCCCACTGTCATAGGTAGGAGGAAATGAACTCTCGTGGAATCGGCGAAGCCGGTGTCCGATTCTTTGGGGGCATCTACAGAACCGTGTGAATGGTCCTCATTCCTCCCCGGGGGTGGCTCTGCCTGATCCCAGACCGTGAAAAGTTGGGTTTCCTCTGGACAGCACGGGGCAGGCGCTCGAGTGAGGTCGGTCCCCTCTGATGCATGCTTGGACTGCACACAGTGAAATACGAGCGGGCTCCACCCACGGTTTGGCTACCCCCCCGCCCAATTTCACACCTGCCCTGCTTGGCTGCACGTCTGAGCAGCTGCATCTCAAACCAAACTACTCATTTCCTGGGAAACGGGTTTGCACCTTACTGGGTATCGCCCTGAGTTCGTACGTCCTTGTGTACATTTCCTGCAGTTCTTCCGTCTGGCTCAGCCCCCGAAATATTGCAACTGTGTGCAGACGGAACAAATTGAGCATGCAAACCTGGTGCTAAACCTCTTCCCCAGACTGTCAGGAATCAGTTGCAGTTCTACACGTATGTAAACTGCAACAGGAGGGAGAGAAGGGGTGCGCATTGGGGGCAGCCAGCCAGGAAACAGGACCCCCAGGGGGTGAATGGGCAACATTTAACAGGTCCCGAGACAGGAAGGAGTCCCTGCTAGATTCCTGTCTAGCAAGAGGGCTTGGAAAGTTGTCCTGAGATGCTTGTGGGTCCTCACCTTCCTAAAATCAAGACTCACAATACTGGGGGCAGGGGGTGTCCAGATGAGGTTTCATTGGACGGTCACCTTGCCTGCATTATGCGTGGAATTTGCTGAGGGTCCAAACAGCTGCCTATATCATGTGTAATTCTCCCCTCTCCTTCAACACATTTCCCCCCTTTTTCTGGCTGTATAAAAGCTCTGAAGAAAAGAGAACCCGAAATGCCGCACAGTCCTTGGGTGGTCAGTGCTAGAACCCCCCTGTCTGAAAAGACCCGTTCTTAGAGAAGCCAAGATGCGGTCGGGCGTCTCACTGAAGCGTCTCACTGATACAGTTCCTTGTATCGTGTGTCGCTGTGGGGCCGCCTTCTCCGGCCAGCTGCCCTCCAGCAACAGCAGGCCACAACTCACAGCCTTCAAGCCCCAGGTGTAAGGAAGGGCTACTGTACACCGAAACACCGGGTGGCAGGCGGGTGCTGTGGGCATCCAAGCAGCTCCGGCACACATGCAGCAAACAGACTAGGCAGGCCTGCAAGACCGTGCGGGTTAGGTTTTTGTATTTGTATTTTTTGTATTTTTGTATTTAATGGTAATTTATCATGTTCTATTGTATTTCAATGTATTTTATTGTGTTGTAAGCCGCCCCGAGGCTTTGGCAAGGGGCGGCATAGAAATGTTATAGTAATAATAATAGTAATAATAGTTCTGTGCAGCCATGACTCTCCACCCCGCGCATGACCGGCATGCAAGGCATGAAGGGAAACAGTCGGGATGCGCTGGTACCAGTGGAAAGCGCTCGCGTGCCGCAGGTGCAGGCCGGGTCTGGCCAGGACAGCTGCTTGACACGGGCTTTGGGCACAGCTTTGGCCCAGGATCCCCTCTTCTCCATTCCCGCCTCGAAACCATTTTAACACGGCTGGTCTTCCAGCACTTGGCCTTCTGAGACACTGAGCAGAGGGGGTGGCCTGAGCATTGGTTGGCCCTCACATCCCGTCCTTTCCTGCAGAGAACCCGGTTTAGTTCATGCAGCTCAAACGGGGCTGCATGCAAGAGACGTTGCCATGGTCTTCTCCAGGTTGTGTAACCTGGGTCCATGGGTGAACGTGAGAACGTAGGGGCCAGTTCCTTGTGTCTGTCCCCCCCTTGCAGATGAAATCCGTACGGGGAGATACCACACACTCTTCCACCCCGAGCAGTTGATCAACGGCAAAGAAGACGCTGCCAACAACTACGCCCGTGGCCATTACACCGTCGGGAAGGAGATCATCGACACCGTCTTGGATCGGATCCGCAAAATGGTATGACGATGCCTTGGCTCCATCCGTGAACCAGCCCTGCCTGCTCCCTATAACTCGAGCTACGCTGCTCTTCCCCAGCCTGGCTTCCTCCCGGTGTGTCGGACTGCGACTCGCATTATCCTTCAGCCGAAAGGGAGGATGATGGGAGCTCTTCGTGTCTATGGGACTTATTGGAGAAGGTCAAGCTGAACACACTTCGTCTTGAATTTCACAAACTGAAAACACTAATATGGAAATAGACCAGGCCTGGTACGGAACCCCCGAGCATTCTGGCTCTCTTCCGGAGATTGAACCCAGAACTGGTCCTTGTGTTCTCACTAAACCATCCTGGGTTAAATTTGCAGATGACGACTGGCCAGGGAAAATCTGTCCCATCTGTTCTCCCGATTCTAGGCCACTTGCTAAAACAGTATCTCTTGAATAGAGCCAGAATTTTATTTTATTTTATTTTTTTATTTTATTGTATATATGTATTTATTTGAAACTTTTCTAGACTGTCCCTTACCAAAGTCTTGGAACCATTTAACAACACAACAATGTAAAATAAAATACAACATCCGAAACGTTCCAACTGGCAACAAAACCCCAATTAAAACATTCAGATCTTAAAACATCGGGAAAATATCAAGGTTGTTATTTTTGGCCAGGTGCTGAAAAGAATAAATTTTGGAGATGAAATATTGGCAGGAGGACTTCTGCATGCATCGTCTCTGTAAGGGTGCACCCTTTCCCATGTTCATTCCCACCCGAGCACTGAGCTGAGCCCTAAAACACATTTTCTGTGTCACGGGGGATGGTGGGGAGTCGCTCCCCGATCTGTGATGCTGGCCCTGCTTGACGTGTTGGTTATCTTGACGTTCTCCACTTGTCCGCTCACCTTCCCAGGTTCACCTCGTGAGCTTCCTGGCCAAGAAGGATTTAAACCCGGCTCTCTCCCCTCCTAGTGAAGCCACAGTATTGCACTGGCTCTTGATCCTCGAGAGGATGAGTTTTAGGGCAAAGAGGTGGGGATAATGCACGGAAGCCCCAGGTTGACACTTGTAGGAGGTTGCTCTTCCGTCTGCTGAGACTCTCCGAGGCTTAACTCCCGGTCCTACCAAGGAAGTCCCCAGTGTTACCTCCACACGTTGTCCAAATCTGCAGCAAATTGTACTTTTTTGATTGGGGTTTTGCCGTTGCTTCTCCCTGTGAATTGTGCCACACGGAGGTTTCGCACACCAAGTTCCTATCATGGAAGCAATTCTGAAATTACAGCTGATCCCATCTTCTCTTTCAGGCTGACCAATGCAGTGGCCTCCAAGGGTTTTTGATCTTCCACAGCTTTGGAGGAGGCACAGGGTCTGGCTTCACATCCCTCCTGATGGAACGGCTCTCGGTTGACTTTGGTAAGAAGTCCAAACTGGAGTTCTCGGTGTACCCTGCCCCACGGATTTCCACTGCAGTGGTGGAGCCCTACAACTCCATCCTGACCACCCACACCACCCTGGAGCACTCCGACTGCTCCTTCATGGTGGACAACGAAGCCATCTACGACATCTGCAACCGGAAGCTCGACATCGAGCGCCCGACCTACACCAACCTCAACCGGCTGGTTGGGCAGATCGTGTCCTCCATCACAGCTTCCTTAAGGTTTGATGGGGCCTTGAATGTGGACCTGACTGAATTCCAGACCAACCTGGTGCCTTACCCCCGCATCCACTTCCCCCTGACCGCTTATGCCCCCATCATCTCCGCCGAGAAGGCCAACCACGAGCAGCTCTCTGTGCCTGAGATCACCAATTCCTGCTTTGAGTTCTCCAACCAGATGGTGAAGTGTGACCCTCGCCGAGGCAAGTACATGGCTTGCTGCCTGCTCTACCGGGGGGACGTCGTGCCCAAGGACGTCAATGCTGCCATTGCCGCCATTAAGTCCCGGAGGTCCATCCAGTTTGTGGACTGGTGCCCGACCGGCTTCAAGGTGGGCATCAACTACCAGCCCCCCACCGTGGTGCCCGGGGGAGACCTGGCGAAGGTCCAGCGGGCCGTCTGCATGCTGAGCAACACCACGGCCATCGCGGAGGCCTGGGCCCGGCTGGACCACAAGTTCGACCTGATGTACGCCAAGCGGGCCTTCGTGCACTGGTACGTCGGGGAGGGCATGGAGGAGGGGGAGTTCTCCGAAGCCCGGGAGGACCTGGCCGCCCTGGAGAAGGATTACGAGGAGGTTGGGCGGGAGTCTGACGATGGATCTGACGTATTTGACATCCAAGAGTACTGAGTCATCATGACGCACCTGTTTCACACCATGAATTCTCAACAACTCTTTGTTTCTGCTTGGGAAGATGCTTCTGGATTCTCCAAGCAGATAAAACACACTCTATTTGGCATTCTTGTCTGGAGTGAAATTGCCTGTTTTGCTTCAAAGCCTACAAAAACTCCACCCATCTCAAAGCATCACAAAATAAAATGTGCAGGAAAGAACACCTGGATGGTCCTTCTACTGTTAGGTTTTCTTTGTCTTTTCAGCTGGGAGGAGTACTTACTAGAAGTAGCTGGAATGACATCAGAGTGGCTCAAATAGTTCCACCATTATTGAAATTCCCTAACTGGGGACCAGGTACTGTGTCCCTTCATACCTCCAGAGCACCTGTCCTTTTCTTAGCCAAGCTCTGAATGGTTTCCATTCCCAATGTCTGGGCATGTGCAGGGAACACCCCATAGTATCTTGAAGACAGATTTCCTGTATCATCTCATTTACTGTATGACTATTGCCTTCCCCGGGGGTCCTCAACCCAGTACCCAACAGCAGCAATATGCCATGACAGCTGTTGGTAGTGAGTCAGAAGGGGCCTCCTGGGTCATCTAGTCTGATCCCTGGCTCCAGCCGGTTCCACTTATGACACGCCTACCATGTGCATGTCCAACCTATCCTTGACCGCCTTCACTGATGGGGCCTCAACCACCTCCCATGGAAGCCCATTCCACACCCTCAGGGTCCTAACTGTCAGGAAGTGCTTCTTGGCATCCAAATGGAACCTGGGTTCCCTGAGCTTTGCTCTGTTGGAGTGCATCCTGCCTTCCTCTGCAGGGGAGAACAGGTCTCTACCCGCCTCTGTGTGGCATCCCCTCACACACCTGTATGTCGCCCACAGATCCCCTCTGAGTCTCCTCTTCTCCAGGCTGAAGAGTCCCAATTCCCTCAGTCTCGCCTCACACGGCATCCCCTGCAAACCAGCCACCAACCTTGGGGCCCTGCGCTGCACTGACTCCAACCTGGCTATATCCTTCCTGGAATGTGAAGCCCAGAACTGCGCACAATACTCCAGTTGCAGGCGCACCAGAGTTGTGTAGAGTGGTAGTAATACCTCTCTCGATCTGGAAGCCACGCTTCCGGCTATGCAACCAAGGGTGGCGTTCACCCTCTTGACCACCGCATCACACGGCTGACTCATGTTCAGCCTGCAGTCAACCAGCACCCCGAGGTCCCTTTCACAAGTGCTGCTCTCCAGCCACTTGTCCCCTAACCTGTACTTATGACACCCATCCCTATGCCCCAAGTGCAAGACCTTGCATTTATCTGCATAGGTAATTGATCATTATCTGCATTGATACTTTGGGACCCCTGCTGATTCCTAAAAATCTTCCATTTTGCAAAAGAATAACAGCAATGGGCCTTGTGCAGAAGGAAACCTATCCCTCCATCCAATTTTATTTATTTATTTATTTATTATTATTTATTAAAATATTTCTATGCCGCCCATTCGCCGAAGCCTCGGGGCGGCTCATTATTTCCAAGAATGTACCCCAAGCTGTTTGTCTTCAAGCCTCTTGGGGTAGCCATCTGGGAAGTGGATGTGCGCCTATACTAGGTATCCCCCAAGCTTTGCCACACCTTTCTTGGCCAGTTTCCTCCTGGGAAACAGCAGTTGTCCAACTCCCCCACCAACCCACAGCCGCCATTTTGAGAAAGCGCAATGCCCCCTCATGGCAGCCATTTTGTGAGGATACCCACCATATGCCTTCAAAATTTCAAGTGTGCCCACCAATCCAAAATGGTCATAGAAGCCTATCCTGTCCTAAACTAACCATGTGGAAGAGGCCAGGTTTGTCTGCGCGGTGTAGCCCTGGGAGACTCTTAAACTGAATGCATAATAATTACAGCATCCCAGGATTAAGCCTGGCTGGCAGTTAGGTAGTTCCCAGATCCCCAATTTAACAGAAGGGAAGCCATGGTAGTTTTCCTGTTTTCCACCTTAGCTTTCCCCTCACCTCACGACCAGCAGGAAAATGCCTTTCTTCCTTATCTTATCAGTGGGGCTGGGAAGGAAGCAGTCCAAAGGTGCACCTGCGCCCAGCCAGCCCAAATGCCGCAGCTACTTTGACCTCAAAAGCAGCATCAAAGGCACCCACCTGTGCTGAGCCCGGCTTGCCACGCACAGGTTTCCACAGGGCTTGGAAACACACCCGCCAGGGTCAAAACGATCCTTTCCTTGGACATTTTTCTGCAGCTGCTCCGCCTTTTCTTTCAAAGTGTTTGCTTTTTCTTTCCAGTACAGAACTCTAACCTAATATTCCCAGTGGGTGTTTGTGGTGGGTGCTCATACTTCTCTATCCCACACAACCCTGGAAGGAATCTTGCCCTGGGATGTTATGGCAAACGCAACATAGCAATTTGGAGCTGCTGTTCCTAGATTTTGGGAGCGACAACACACCAAAACAAAAACACCAACCTTGCAGGGAGTCTCTGAGAAACGGTTGCGGGATTTCTGCTCCCCATAGAGAACTTGCGCATAACAGTATTGCAGATTTCTCTGCCCTGCCCCTCTTGCTTGGGAGAATGAGTTGACGGCAGACCTGGAATCTGGTGCGGCAGTTCCCAGGATCCTGGCATTTTGTGGGGCCGAGTGGAAATGCCGTGGGGTTCCAGGAAGTTCATCGCGGCAGCAATGCAGTCCTGGTCCTGCCCCGCTGAGTTGGTGTCCTGTTTTTCGGCTCAAAAAGAAGGCCGGAGCAGGAATCGTGCAGAACCCTTCTGTGTGCCCAGGGGACAGCATTTAAACAAGGCGTGTTCACCTTTGCACTGTGTTGGAAATGCGATCTCGTGTCGCGCACAAATGCAGTTGTGGGGGGAGTTGGAGAGGGGAGGTGTGCACAGAAAGGAGCTTTTATGGGGGGGTTTCATTAATTCAGCTTGTGCAGTTTAGGTGGTACGACGAAGCAAAGACTTCAAAAAGTACTCCTCAGCCAACAGCCCCGTCCCATGTTGACCTTTGGACTAGGCCTGCATATCGGCACATTTTCAGCTCTTTGCAGCCCTCTGCTATGTGGACTTTCACAGGAGTAAGTGTCATTGAAGACAATGCAGTTTACTTTTGAGTAGACATGTGCATGGGGCAATTTCCACTATTCCCTCTCCCAGCACTTGAAGCGACCTGAGAGGTTGGTGCGATCATGGAGCTACACCTATGCAGGTGCTGACAGTGTTTTAAAAAGAAGTCGGGCAGGACCCTTCCTCATTGCAGCCCACTCCCCCCAGCCCCCCCCCCCCCCCCCCCCCCCCCCCCCCACGTACACTGCTGAAACCAGCCCTTCTTCCCCCAGTTCAGCATGCGAGTCCAGCATATGCTGGACTATATTCTGTGGAGGAAGCATGAAACAGCCATGACACAAGCAATCCGAAGAAATCTGGGATATGCCTAGGAAGGCAGTTGGGGTGCCGGGGACACACCAGTGATCTGGGCACTGTATTGCCGGTGGAAATCCCCAGCCGAAATTCCCCCGCAGCTCTGAGAAACACCAGAGGGCTAGACTTGGCGTGCGAAAACCCCAGGACGACCACACTCGGCTCAGGAGACCCGCGCTGGTTTTCCTGGGCACCCGACTGGCTTTGGCTGCCATTGATTCCTTCTGAAGAGGTGGGCTTAGTAATTCTGAGCTGGGGGAGTTCCCAATTTCCTGTGCTTCTGCCCATATGCAGAGGGCCATCTCCCGGAGACCATGCTGGGGGAATTTGCCCACCTTGTTGGTGCTTAGCCTTTGTGGGTTTCGGGTTTCCCGTTTCATCTCTGGATGTTTCTGTGAAGCCACTGAGTTGGCTCAGATGTTTGGAAGATGGTCCCAGCAAGGAATGCTTGAAGAATCCCTTTGGGGCTGGAATCCACCGGATCGCCTGGGCTTGGGTCCCAGGGCTGTGGTCCACTTTGCACAGCCCTGAGGCCAAGTCCCAGGCAAGCGTTCCCGGCTTCCCAGGACGCAAGCACCGCGTTCTGTTCGTGCAGCTCCCTCTTCCAGGCCGTGCCAAGATGCAGAGGTTGGCTGGTCGCACAGCCTTTCTTCTGAGAGCACGTGTGGACTTCTCAGCTCGGCTCACCTTCCAAGACCAGGCGGGGCACAAGAGGAAGTCCACAAACACTTTCACTAGGGGCTGCCCCTGCCCCAGTGCTGCCTGTCCACAGATCCCCCGTGGTCCTGCATCTCATCTGAATGCAGGCGGGGCACCGGCACTGGGAATGCGCTAGAAGGGGACTGTCTACCTGCATTCGGACATCTGCAGGCGCATGTGATGCTGAGCAGGGCCCAAACCCCAGACCATCATGGCCCAAACATGCCCTCAGGTTCACACGACTAACTTCTCAGAAGGTTTTGAAGAAACAGGGGACGGAGGTGGCATGTGGGGACAGTCCCCTGGTCTTTGCTCCTGCTTGGTTCCAGGAAAATGAGACATTTGGCAGTATATCCATTAATAAACTCACACTGAGGCTGCCTGTCACGGCGAAGTCAAGGTCAGAATTCGGGAGTCAGCTGAAGGGTTTATTGGGTGTTCCTGGGTACGAGGGAGGTTTCGACAACCCAGAGCGGGGCCTTCCCGTACCTGAAGCCATCTTCTCCAGGTGCCGTGAGAGTCACCTTCGTTTCAGCCAGACACGTGATCGTCAGGGGCTCCCACTGGGCCACTTTTGGGACCCAGCCTTGAATACTGGGGAGCGGCTGCTTTTCCTGTTGGCCTGGAAGAAGAAAAGAGGTGGGGCCATGTTCACGGTTCTTGGTTGGCACGTTGGGATGGCCAAGACCATCTGCCACGTGCCAAATGGGCCCCGTGCCAGCGATCTCTGCAGCCTCGTGATGCGTAAAGAATTGAACCCTCCCCGCCGCCCCCAGGTCTCCCTGCCCCGGGACCACTCGCCCTGAGCATTTGCATGGCTGCCTGGCGATTTAAGGAGGATGTGGACCAGCGGGGAAAGGTTCAGCAAGGACGATCCGGGGACTGCAAACAGAATCCCATGAGGAGGGATGGAAAGAACTGGGCATGTTGAACTGGAGAAGAGAAGACTGAGGGAAAACAGGATCGCGCTCTCCAAGTACTTGAAAGCTTGTCACCAACAGGAAGGCCAAAATCTCTTCTCAGTCATCCCAGAGCACATGTTCCAGAATAATGGGCTCAAGTCACAGCAAGCCGGATTCCGGCTAGACACCCGAAAAATTTTCCCAGCTGTTCGAGCAATACGACAATGTCACGGTCAGGAAGTTCTTCCTGATCCCTAGCCAGAATCTGGCTTCCTAGAACTTGAGCCGGTTATCCCATGCCATGCACTCCGGGATGACTGAGAAGGGACCCTGGCCTTCCTCTTTGTGGCAATTCTTGGTGACAAATACATGCGTTCCGGCACGTTCGTAACCTTTTCCTTTCTTTTGCTGAATCGGGACAATGAAAGAGCAAGCGAAGCTTTGCTGGTCAGGAAAAGCAGAAGTACCGGCCTCCTTCTATCTGGAGAGAGGAAGGTGCCGTGGGGGGACGCTCCACTCCCCACAGCCACATGCCCAGGAAGGGCCCAAATATTTGCAGGGCTGTATCAGTCCCTGCCAGAGAACCCCTTCTAGCAGTCGGCCTCCACCGAAGCTCGTGGGTTTCAGTGGCCCAGTCAAGGCCAAGCCGCTCCCAAAACACAGCATGCAAGGCGTACAGTTGCAGGGAATGCTGACTCAGACACACAGGAACAGAGTGAGTCAGAAGGCGCCTCCCCGGCCGCCTAGTCTGACATAGAAACATAGGAACAGAGTGAGTCAGAAGGGGTCTCCTGGGCCATCTAGTCTGACCTCCGGCACCATAGAAACAGAGCGTGTAAGAAGGTACCTCCCGGGCCATCTGGTCTGACATAGAAACAGAAACAGAGCGAGTCAGAAGGCGCCTCCAGGGCCATCTAGTATGACCCCCGGCTCTGCTCACGACATGCCCACCATGTGGACGTCCAGCCTGTCCTTGAACACCCTCACCGGTGGGGCCTCAACGACCTCCCGGGGAAGCCCATTCTGCACCCTTGGCGTCCTGACTGTCAGGAAGTGCTTCCTGGCACCCAAATGCAACCTTGGCTCCCTGAGCTTTGCTCCGTTGGAGTGCGTCCTGCCTTCCTCTGTGGGGGAGAACAGGTCTCTACCCACCTCCGTGTGGCATCCCCTCACACACCTGTATGTCGCCAACAGATCCCCTCAGAGTCTCCTCCTCTCCAGGCTGGAGAGACCCAGTTCCTCCAAGCTAAACTCAGAAGGAGTAAGGAATGCTGAGCTGGGCCAGAGGGTGTCAGTGGATGGATTCAGACAATCCAGTAATGCACACCGAGGGTTGAGGTTTGGAATGGGGGCTGGCACTGAACCAGGGGTTCCCACTGAAACATGGATCGTCGTGTTGCCTGCACTTGGCTGAGGTAACACACCAGGGCGAACAAGCCCCAGCCCAGCAACACACCCCAGGTTGTTTGTGGCTAACAAGCCACGTGTGCTAGCGCAGCCGGTTTGGACAACACAACAGTCCAAGGCTCAGAGCCAGGGTGGTCCGAACCAGTTCTCTCTGCAACTCAGAGCATTCTGAGGTTGCTCCAGCTCCGATATTCCAATGGGAAAGAGGAAGGAGGAGACCCGGCCCAGTGTCAGCTCCCACTTTTCATTTTCACTCCTCCAAGTCAGCAGAATGCGGGATTCGGAGGATGAATCCTGCATTGGTGACCTCCACATTTCCGCTTTATTTTTCCTGGCAAACCAGGAGTGTGTATGGAAGGACACTCACTGACTCCCACTGTGCAGCAGCAGAGTTTTAAAATTTAAGCCACGGGTGTCTGTTCCCAAGCCCAGATAACCAGCTGTGAAAAGACCGCTTTGCTGGTGTGTTGCAGAGCTGAAAGGTCTACTAAAGAGCCTGTAAGAAGAAAAACTGTTGCACACTTACCTAGTCTTGAGCTAGTGTGCAAGTGGGGGTACAATCTTTGTACACGCCTCTCTGCATAACCCTTTGAAAACTTTGCTTCACCCTTGAAATCCTTGGCAGTGGCAAACCTGCTGGCACAGGACATGTTTGGGTTACTGCAATGCATTATATGGGGAGGCACCTTGGAAAACCTCAGAGGGCCCTAAGAGGCAGTGAGATTGTTAACAGGGACTGGCTGATGCCATCTGCACTGGTCCCCGTATGTTTCTGTGCCTGGTTCAAGGTGCTGGGATTAATCTGTAGAGCCCTAAAAGATGGGTGGCCAGGGGGCCTGCCGGATCATCTCCTCCCATATACCTACGCAGACCCGAAGATCATTTCTGGAGGCCCTACTCAGGGTGTCCACAGCAAATCAGCTGCAATCAGTGGCTACTAAGGAGAAGGTGTAAGATAGATACAAAAATCCAATTGTCAGGAATAAATCAGTGAGAGCCAGTGTGGTGTGGTGGTTAAGGGCATGGGACTGGGACTCAGGCGATCTGGGTTCAAGTCCCCGCTCAGCCATGGAGCCAACCGGGTGACTTTGGGCCAGTCACAGACTCTCAGCCCAACCTACCTCGCAGGGTTGTTGTTGTGGGGATAAGATGGAGGAGGAGAGATGATGTCAGCTGCCTTGAGCCCTTTGTAGGAAAAAGGCAGGATATAAATCGCAATATGAATAAATACAATAAATCCAAGCAGTGATGATACGGGAGGCAAAGTACCAAGCAGAGAAGTTTAATTCGTTCTTGCAAGAGCAGGTGCCCACCACACAGGTAGTGTGCCGTTCACGTACAAAACATTTCTTTTTACCCCCTTTTCCCGGCTCACAGGCCCTTCCTCTTTTCCCCCACTGGCTGGGCTACTCAGAGGGTACACTCTTCTCCATCCACCTACATCATACGACCCCTTGACAAGCTTCCCCCCTTGCACAAACAACCCATGTTCATGCTAATGAGCCCATTACTTATGAGAGGTGTGTCAGTTACTATTCATGCACCTGTTAAGCATGCGCACCATCTTCTAAAGTTCAACAAGTCAAAGTGGCCTTGGAAATTCCTGCTTGACTTGTGGGAGGATGAGATAGACAGAACAGCCTTTCTCCAGGCTGGTTATCGCCAGTTGTAAAAAGCGATCAATTTCCTGCTCTCTTCCACTGAAGGTGACACTTTTACCACTGTCCCCCCACTTTTACCCTCTCTGGTATTTTTTGGGACTTTTGATGTAAAAAGCACAATTTCCCTTGGAACAACCATTTACATGATTCGATTCTCAGGCCTTTTGGCCTTAAGAGACTTCAATTAACCCTGAATTTCACTCTTTCTTTGGTCTTGTCTTAACACTTAGTAACAGTAACATTCCATTTCTCACAAAGGACGTTTTGGTGGTGGCTCCCAGTTGAAGGATGACCTTCCTAGATAGACTCACCTGGGGCCTCCTTTGTTTTCTCTTCCATGCATGTTGAAGACTGTTTATTTTCCCAGATTCTTTAACTCTTCAGTTTTGCTTTTAAACACATTCTTTCTTTTAGGTCTCTCCCAGCTGCTGGCTCTGCTTTGGTTTTGTTGTGAACTTTTCAAGTTAGCTTTTAAATAACTTTTAAAGTTATCTTATGTTTTATTGCACATTGTAGGGTTTTGCAAACTTCCAAGAGAACTTTGGCAATTGCTGGGGGATAGACATATAAATGAAATCAAGTATAAATCATATGTTTTGCCCGTCGCTAACAGGTTTCCTCCACTGGATTGTGTCAGGTTTGCTTCGGTATCGGAAATCCCAGGATAAGAATGGGATTGTTCACATGCACCCTTGACACTCCCCTGCTCTCTATTGGCTCTTTTCCTAGATAAGGGGCTAAAACTAGTGGGGGCAAACAGGGGAGGAGCACGGCTTAGCCCCTCTGGATCATTTCAGTGCGTTTGGCTTTTGCTTCTCTAAGAGCATGATCCTATTTTGATGACGGTAAGTTCCTGAACTGGAAGCTTATAGCCCAGGGTGGCTGGAGCAGTAACGGCAAAGATGGCTTCAAAATATTTTAAAGATATTAAAACACCCACATTTCTACATTTCTTATCTGTAGAGGCTGCTGTGGCATCTGCCACTTTTACCGCACTTGATTCCAAAAATCACAGAAGGAAGAAGCGAAAGCAAATCAGCCACCAAGCACCTCGGTGTGCTCCTGTTCCACATGAATCGCTGCACCTATCCTTCTGAAACTTTGCCGTTTTCTTGCGGTGCTGCCTGCCATTTTCAGAAGAAAGGTCTTCGTAGAAGACCTGTGCATCCTTTTTGAGATAATCACATACTGCAATGCCTGCTTTTGCGCAAGAATTCTTGCACTTATTCATTTGACACCTGGCAGGTTTGATTTCCTCCAAGCAACTTTCCTGCAGATTTTATCCAATGTTTCCAAAAATTAAACACTTGATTGGCCAATATCCATATAAAGATGCCCATCAGAAAAACAACCACACTTATTAAGGGGCTTATATGCCTGTGAATTTCATCAGCATTTCATGAACCAAAGCAGATGACAGTCCTGGTCAATGGAAGGCATTTCTAAACTTGAGGTTGGATTCGGCTCTGACTCAAAGCGGGCAGCTTCCAAGCTGCTTTAAGAAGAGTCAAGTCCTCTTCCACCTTGACCTGCAGCCACATGCTCACCTGGTTTGGTCAGCACCTATCTCTGATTCTTAAAGGAAGCACTACAACTCACCCCCACCCTCACCTCCATGGAGACCTGGACAAAGGTATGTGGCACTGAGGCCGAGAGGTAAGCAGACACATTCTTGGCTTAATTAGCTTGTTTATCTGCTCATAGTCATAAAACCTTGGTTTATGGCCATGCTTTTGTAGAGCTTTTTTGCCTCGATTTTGTGTTTTAGCACTGCCTGCCTTGAGCAGCGCTTGCGGTGGAAAAGCAGGAAAGGAATGCAGTCAGAAGAACCGAAGAAGAGCCTTGTTGGATCAAACTGGAGCACGAAGGTCCGGCGAGTCCTTCTGTTCCCAGAGTGGCCAACCCGCTGCCCCGGGAAGCCCACAAGCAGGACCCTACAGCCCATGGTCCCCAGCTACTGGAGCAAGTAGGCACTCTGCTTCTGCCACTGGAAGCAGCATGAAGCCATCAGAGTTTTGCAAACTCATCCCAGGACCTCCCGGGCAGCACCGTTTCTTGGCTCTCTGCTCAGTGCGTTTTGGCACGCAGAGCTGCGCTGGTTTGCCGCCTCTCTTATCTTCTGAGCCATGCGGGTTTCTTGCTCCATGGCCAAGGAGTGGGTCATGCCATGGGGCTCAGTGACGCAGCCTCCCAGGGCCTCGCCCTCGGAGCAGCCCTGCCAAGCTGGGCTGGATGGATGCCCGGCAATAGCCTGCGGAAGTGGGGGAGTCTGCGAGGGAGCCAGGCTGGTGCATGCGAAGGTGGAGGGGGGAAAGGGAAGGGAAGGGAAGCAAGAGGAAGAAAGGGGACAGGCGGGGTGTTATCTGAGGACAAGGGGAGGAGGAAAGAGCTGGAAGGGGCGACAACGGCAGGGGCTTGCTGCCGGCCTCTTGGCTGAGAGTATAGCGGCCTCCCCTTCCTTCAAAAAGGGACGAGGTGCTCGGAAGTGGGCACGCCTGTGGAGGGTGGAGAAAGGGAGAACTGAGGACGGTGGCGACCAGAGGGCAAAGGCAAGGAGTCTCCTTCCCCCAGACAAAGAGGCCCCGGGAGGACCTCGAAGGACATTGGCAGGTGCAAAGGAAGATCCGTTTTATTTTCATGTTCATGTTTATGCTTAATAATAACAGCTGCCACATGCAGCAGACAGGGCCAAGGGAGAGGGATAAGAGAGGCGAAACTGCTAAGAGAGGAAGTCAGGGCAGAGGCGGGAGGAGAGGTGGACGCAGGAAAGGAAAGGCTGCCTGGGTGGAAGTGAAGTGTGAAAGGAGGAAGAATTGCTCAGATGCACAGAAATACTTCCGGGGGTGTGGGGGGAGGGAGTCTTCTCTGGTAGAGCCCTAGCTAAGCAAACCCCACCCAGTCGGGAGGAAGGCAGAAGCTGCCTCTGATGAATTATCATGCCCACCCAGTATTGCCAACACGGGCTGGCAGCAGCCACGTTGCAGGGCGTCAGGCAGGTGGCCTGCTTGCAGCTCCAGGAGGGCTGGAGGCCTTCTCTGGGTCCCACCACCTTCGCAGGCATGCTTGGGGGGAACATGGGACAGGGCCTTCCTGGTGGCTGCCCCAAACCTCTGGAATACTCTTCCCAGGGAGACTAGGCTGGCTAGTTCTCTGTTCTGATTCTGTAAGCAAGCTAAAACTTTTTTATTCCAGCAGGCATTTGGGAATGACCTGTGAGTCCACGCCAGGTTTAATCTTACTGTTTACATTTTTATACTGTTTTTAAGCTGTGCAGTGATGTAATTTTTGTAGGCAAATTAATTGTATTTTAAACTTTTGTATATTTTGGAATGTTTTGACTGTGTGATTTTAATGTTGTCAGCTGCCTAGAGTCCAAGTCTCTGGGAATAGGTAGGATGATAATAGCAACCATTAAGGCCATTCTGTTTAGGCATGGAGTCATGTCCCAGCAGCAGGTGGTCATAAAATTTTAAAAAGTTGCACGGATTGGGTCGCATACTACAACGGACCATGGTCTTCCCATCTTCCGCGGAGCAATGCTAGGTATGTTTCTGGGTTCAGCCGGATGTTTTATGGGCGTTGTGAGAAGCTGTCCCCTTTGTGAGAAGAGATTTGGAATTCATTACAGTGCGAATCAAAGCACTCATGCAGGCCTTTGTCGGAGATGCAGCCACACATGTGCTAAAAAACATGAACCCTCAGAAAGGGGTGGGCATCAGGAACCTGAAAAGGCAAAGTAGTAAAGTGGAAACTGTCTCAGGCACATTGAGGCCCTTGAAAACTTTTCGAAAAGCTGCGAGTATTTCACCAAAAGCACCACAAGTGAAAGCTGGGAGAGAAGACGGGCGTCTGAGAGAGAAAACCATCGGAAGGAAATGTCTGCTGCAACAAGAGGCATTCAGGCGTTTGCCAAGGAATGTGTCACATCGGGGGTCTGGGAGGTGGAGGGCAAGCAGGGGCCCCAGGCATCTGCCCTCTTCTTCGTGGCTTTACCTGAATTGTGTGGACTTCCTCTGGTGCTTCTTGCCTGGGACTGCGGCTTGTTTCTCCAGTGGGGGTAAAGAAAGAGGCTTCTGATCTTGCAAACTCTGCAGAAAAGGTGGAATGGGAGACCAGCTGGTCAAAACGGACGTGTGCAAAGCTGCTCCCTTGGAGGCCCTCCATGCTGAGCGGAACAAGCTCCTCTCTGGGTGCACAAACCTTGAACCCCAGGACCTTCCTATCCATGGAACACCCCCCCCCGCTTTTGCATAATGCAAAGGAGCAAAAATTGGGGTCCTGCTTTTTACCAGCAAAAGGACCTGTGTTCTAGTCTCCACTCGGCCGTGAAGCCCCCTGGGTGACTTTGGGGCAGTCCCTGCCTCTCAGCCTGTCCCACCTTTCAGGGTTGTTGTGAGGATAAAATGGAGCAGGGGAGAGCCTCGTAAGCCAGCTCAATTTCCTTGCAGGAAAAGGCACAGGATAGAAGAACAGTAAATCAAATCTCGTTGCTTATCAAAACCAATTATTTTGCCCTAAGAGCCAGAAAAGGGCCAAGAAAGGGTCGTACGATGCGGAGAACTTGGATAAAGGAGGAAAGCACAGCTTAAAAAGGAAGGGAAGGGAATATTCTCTTGGGGCCATGCACGTTATTTCTACTGAATCTACTTCTGGTTCTATGGCAGGGCTAAGAGCCAAGCATCGCCCAGAGTGCATCTTTCCTGCTTTTCTGCTACGTTAGCTCCAGGTGGTGACGTAGGATAAAGGAATACTGCAGTTGCACCAGCGGAAAAGGCGCTTTCGTCCACTGTTACAAATAAAACCCCACTTTTAAAAATCCTGGCTAAAAAGATTTTAAAACGGAAGTGAATTGGAGGGTCACAATGTGGCATAAAGAACCTATAAATTGTGTGTGCCCATAATAAATGCAGTGTGGAAAGTTCTTTGCTGTTGCACAAAAACGATTCCCACCATTTTATGCTTCCTTTAAGCTTTAACCTCCCCTTTTTCTTCTCCTCAGTCTATTGCATGCTATGGATGCCCATTTAGCTCGTCAGCTGGGCACACCCAAAATATTTTATATCCCGAGGCAAAGGACAAGGTGGGGACCTTCCCCTTCCCCATCTGACATGCGAAAGGGTTTGAACTGGAACTTAGTATGCCTTAAAAGCAACCTGGCTAGGTTCCAGAACAGGCCACAAACAGCGGAGAAGGCAGGGCCCTGGAGAAGACATGCAGACAAGGGTAAAATCTTGCAAAATCAAGAACCATTGTGGCTCCTGCCAGCAACCGACAAGAAGCCGCTGACCAAAAGCCACATTGCCAAAATTCAGTCAAATAAAGAGTAAAAGATTAACTGCGAGCAACCCGACATGGCCTGAAACCAGTTTTTCCTCTTTTGTACAGGTGGCTTCCAACTGGCGTGCTTTTCTTGCTCGCATGAACTGGGTTTGAAATCCCTCTGGAGGTACCTGGGCAGCTCTAATGATTTCCTTAAGCCCAGTGAATGGGGGAGGAAACAACTGGAAGTATAGGAAACAAAGCTAAGTTTAAGTTTAAAACTAAAGGCGGCTTTCATGAAGAAAAGCAATGGAGCCTCTAAGCAACCCAGATTTCTTACACAACCTCATCCAGAGTGGCATCTGCATCAAAAGGTCCATTCTTTGCTCTTCACCTAGCTAAACAAACATTTCAAGTTCAAAGGCTGGGAGCTGTCCCCAAGACAGCTACAGCTTTTGGCTTTGGTTTGCTAGCCTCCCGAGTCCGCAGGCAATTTGCTAGTCTGGGGGCAAAGGAGCAATGCCTGCTTCTCGGAGCTGGTAGCACAACAGCAGAGCCCGATGGATATTTATTGATTATGTGATCCGGAGATGATTCTTCCCAAAGCTCCGAAGCCAGCAGAAAGCGGCCCCTCTTGCCGTGTCCCTGCAACGTCCTATTTCCTCCGTGAAGCCTTGGAGAAGGAGGCTAAGAAGCTGGCCACTGGGGTGGATCCCTGAGCCTTTGCCAGGCTCCCAGCTTACCTGCGTCAAGCCCTGGTTCTGCTCTCTACGGGTAAATTCCTTGGGTCTGACCCTGCCGGTAGATGGCTGTGGTTTGGAAGGACCTTTCCCGCAACTGGGAATAGCTCCCGGTGATGTTGGCAGCCTTCCTCTGGCTCGCCGAAGAAGCCACCCCCAACCTGGCGCCCTCCAGGTGTGTCATTCCACCATTCAGAGCATCCGTACTGAGCAGGGGGTTTGTACTCCAAGACAGCAGGGTGGCCCCAGGTCAGAGAGGGCTGGTCTAAGGTCCCGGATGGGCTGATATGGTCCACACCACCGAGGACCATGGGGAAACCCTCCGGTTCAGACAAAGCTTTTGGGTTAACCTAGAGATCTCTTTTGGGGTTAGGCCTTGGGGCTCACTCCCTTTTAACTGAGGAAGTGGGGTGCCCCATTCAGTTATAGAACCAAAGCCAGCCTACCCTTCTTAACACGTCTTTTGAGAAATACTGCAAAGGCATCGAAAGCTGTTGGCCGGAAACGAGCAGAGGAAGCGGGTTGTTAGTCACAATCAAGGTGGTCTTGTCTTGATTGAACTCTGATGACCTCAGCATGATGGCGATTTCTCCCCGGCGCCTCCCCAAGCGCTCTTGAAATTCCTCATCAGTCACTGGGATAAAGTACTGGATCTGCTCAGCAACAAAGAAAGAATGTGAGGAGGACAGAAGCCCTCGGTTCGTCTCCCCAGAGGAGCAACTGAGGTCAGCGGGACCCATGTGATCTTCTGTTTGCTTTTTGGCCAGCACAAATATTGGCCAACAGAGCATGGAACCATCCACATGGATCCGCTGGAGGCAAGCCCAGGAAGCCACAGATGCTATTGCCCCCAAATACACCCTCTGTTTGTTTACACTGTGCCTACGCAGAAACTCAATGGAGCCAGATTGGGCCTTGAAGATCAGCCAACCACCCCCTGCCAGGTGGTCTCGCCAAGGCTGTGTCCAGATTCTGCTTAGATATTCTCCAGTGGGGAAGAATCCACCGCCTCCCCAAGCAGGCTCTTCTGCGTTTCTCCCGATGCGTAGCCAGAATCGGTTCCCCCGCAATTTCTGCCTGTTGGTTCTACGCCTGCCCTCAAGAGCAAAAGAAAGCTGCTCCGCACAGCCCTTCGGATATCTGAAGGCTGCAGTCCCATCCCCCTTGCATCTCCCCTTCTCCATGCTAAATATTCTCAGCTCTTTCAAGCATTTCTTGCGGGAACAGCTCCTGAATCCTTCACCATCCTGACAGCTCCTCTCTATTTGTGCTCCCGTTTTTCAGTGCTCTCCTTGAAACCTGGAGCCCCAGATAGACACGGTTCTCCGCATGTGGCCAGACGGACGCTTCCCATGGCTGGGAGACGAGACTCCTTCTAACGTGGGGCAAGATAAAGGCCACCTTGTTTTTTCAGAAGCAAGCTCAAATTCACTAAGAAGCCCCAGACCCAAAAGTTTCCGTTTCGCTCCTTTTGAACTAATCTGGAGCTGTTTTCCAGGAAAAGATGCCTCGCCATTGCCCAAGTTCTTGAAATGTCAGTAGTGTGACTGATGCAGCTTTCAGTGGAACCGGCTGCCTAGAGAGGTGGTGGGTGGAGGGTTTCCCATGCTAGGGACGTTCAGAAAGAAACTGGGCAGCCCTCTGAGTGGGAGGGTGTCATGGGTGTCCTGCGACAGCAGGGGGTGGACCTGATGGCCTTCATGGCCCCTTCCAGCTCTACTCTTCTACGATCCCTTTGCTCACCACAAAACCTTCCTTCCAGGCTTCATTCTTGCTTCCCACTCCGGTCCCCTTTAGCGCTTCGTGTGCACTGAGAGGACGGGCCGATATCTGCATTCCTGCCCTTGCAGCGGCTGCTGACATCGACAGTTCCTGCGTTTCCTATGCCCTAAATATCTGGCATTGGCAGGGGACCATCCGCTTCTTGGCTGATCGTGTGCTTTGCGCAAAGCACAGCGCTGCCGCTTGGAGCGTGAGATGGAGGCATTCTTGGGAAATGGCATAAATGTCAAGCATTTGAGGCCAGGAAGTATTTCAATAGCAAGATAACCTAACGGCAAGATAAAGATCCTGGAAACAGACTGAAGGACTGTTTTGGCAACAGAGTACTGCACGGCAAGTAAATGTTTTGTGGATTTGTATAAGCCGGGGCTCCTTCATGGATCACTGCCTTGTCGTGGCGAAGGGGCTTGCGTAGCGCAATGAAGCTCTGAGCTGTGCTGTGCAGGGCCACCCTAGACGGACAGGTCACAGCAGGGAGCTCTGACAAAACGTGATCCCCTGGAGAAGCAAATGGCAACCCACTCCAGTACCCTTGCCATGAAAACCCAATGGACAGTACCAAGAGGCAAAGAGATATGACGCCAGAAGATGAGCCCCTCAGCTCGGAAGGTGTCCAATATGCTACTGGGGAAGAGCGGAGGGCTAGTACCAGTAGCGCCAGAAAGAAGGAAGTGACTGGGTCAAAGCCGAAAGGACACTCAGTTCCCCATGTATCTGGTGGTGAAAGGAGAGTCCAATGCTGCAAAGATCTATACTCCATAGGAACCTGGAATGTAAGATCCATGAATCAAGGCAGGCTGGATGTGGTCGAACAAGAGATGACAAGACTGAACATCGACATCTTAGGAAACAGTGAACTAAAATGGACAGGAAGGGGTGAATTTAAATCAGATGACCATCAGGTATTCTACTGCAGGCAAGAATCCCTCAGAAGAAATGGAGTAGCCTTCATAGTCAATAAAAGAGTAG